ATATTTATTGCATTTACTTTATAATGAAGATTTGTTTTTTACTTTTTGTTTTGTTTTTATTTTTTCTCGTTACTTCCTCGATATTTTGTTGCTAAAATTTGTTTAAATATTTTGCTATATGTATAAGTAAAACTTTCATATTTTTATACGAATCTTTTTGTTTTTGTGTTTGTTTTTTTTTCGCAGTAAGTAAATACGTACTTATTTTATTGCTAATTAAACAACATATCCTAGGCCGTACATGGCTCTTGTCATACAAAGAATTTGCTTCTACTTATTGAGTGTTTCAGAGCCACAGTAGTGCACCTACACATTCGTGTGGCTGTGTGTGTGTGTTAGTGTGAGTGTATTGGTGTTCGTGTGTGTGTGTGTATACATACATTCAATTTATACATACTCTATTATACAATTCATTTGTTAATAACTCACTTTCATTCACTTCGTCTCTTTGTCATTATTTACTTTTTTTTGTTTTTGTTTTTTTTTTTTTTTTATCACAGTCAAATCATAAAAGATTTAGTACTTTTACTTTTGAATGAGTTTCCATGATGTTTTGCTTGCTTGAATGTCTGCGATTACGAGCGTTTTCAAATGACCAACGTTTAATTGAGGTTTTCTTTCGCTTCAAAATTTTATTTTTATTTGGTTTGTTTTTTATAAAATTCTGGTGTATTAACATTTAGATTTCGTTTCTTTGTATTCTTCGTAAAGTGCAAACTGAGTTTCGATAAATTTTCGTGTAAAAAGTGGTTGGTTTTCCTCTCTTTTTGCCATAATTGGACAATTTATTTAGTAAGTAGTTGTTGTTGATCTTGTCTAAGAAAGTTGTTAGGTAAATGTTTGTATTTGTTTAATATATTACTTGTATATACTTTTGGTGTTGCTGCATTAATCGTAAAATCTAGTGGCTTGTATAAAAGCTTCAACAGAAACTCCCCACGTTGTGCCTCATACTTTGGCGACAGCGCGAGAGCAGCGTTGCAACTTTATCTATTATTAGTTAAATTTTGCTCATCCTAAGGTACTCACGTATGCTTCTACTATCTTAGGTTTCATTTGATTCCATTGAAATCTACGTTAAATATGAGAATAAAATCAAAACTTCGATTATGAACAAGAGTTAACTTTTTTGTTTTTGGCCTTACTACTGACTGATGCAATTGTGAAATTGAAATGAGATATTAACTATCCTGGACTTGATCATATATATATATATCAATACATATATAATTACACATATATATATATAGTTATATAAGAAGGTAACGTCTGACTGGGACTTGCGTTCAATGAGCTTCTGTTTGACCACTGCACTGTGATGCCAGAGTCTTTGCTTTGGGCTTTTATAGTTTTAGTCCAAGGCTACTTTTGCTTCAATCGATAACGGGCAAGGAAACAAAATAACAAAACATCCATCATGGCAAATTTGTGTTGCAAGGTTTTGAGCTGAGCTGCACATGCCGCTATGCTTGGGAGGGTAGGCTTGGATCTCTGAAGGACCAGGGAGTGGGGGCGTGGCCAGTTGAAAGTGCAACCCCGCACAGCACCATTGGCGATTGTTTTGTATCATTGTTAGGCCGTTTATTTGTATGAATGAATTAATAATAATAATTTGATGTATCACGCTAACAACTAGTTATATATATTTAGTATGTACGCATTTACTTTATGTATGTATGTATGCTTGTATATATATTCAAATATAATTTGTTTATTATTATTAATAGGTTCAATGTGTTTGCTGTAGTTGTTCTTGTTGTAAGACGGCTTCTCATTATTGTTGTTGCCAATACCATACTAAACACTGAATGGCAAATGTGGACAACTACATACATACATACATTGTACATATGTATGCCAATTTTTGATTTGGGTTTTTTTTGTTTTTGTTTTTGTGGTTGTATTGTTTTATTTTATTTGCAATGGCATCTAACAATCAAAGTCTGGACACGCTGCGTATACGTGATAAATAAATCTGCATTGCTTTGCTCTTGCCACAGAACTTTACATTCATATATTATATTTTCATTTGCACACTTGTTAACGGTATGTATGTGTGTGTTTGTTTGTTTATAGTTTATATATATATATGTGTGTGTGTGTGTTTGTGTGTACATATTACTATTATGCATTTATATTTAATTGTCCTAATAACAGTGTGGAGGCAAAGCATAACAAAAATTATAAGTAACAATTTCATTTATGATTTACATACTATATACGTATAGATGCATGTATGTGTGTATGTATAGTTTTTCTGTTTACCATACAAGCGAAAATAAATCGGATTTTTATTGATAAATGTAACTCTTCCTCTTATCTTATAAGTTTTTATTCATATATTTTTACAGAGCAAAAACTGTGGTTCATTTTGTTTTTTTTTACTTCTTGTTTTCGTTTACTTGCGCTCTTGTTTTTAAATGTTTTTTTCTTTTCTTTTTTAGTTAGTTTTTTCTTTATTGTTTTTAAACGTTTTAAAGTCAAGATTGAAATATTTATATATATAGTTAATAAAAGTTTATTTTGCTTAATTTTCATTTGCACTAGTTTAACTCTAATAGACTCCGTCGCTGAAATAACAGCATTTGTTAATAACTTTTATAAACCTCGCAAAATAAAATATGCGAACGCCTCTCCGAAGGATCTAAAGCTGAACTAAAGTGTCTGGGATGCTGGGAAAAGAGGCGTGATTGAGTGATTGGCTGATTGGTTGATTGGTTGATCGATTGATTGATGTCATGAAATGATTCAAATATGGAGACCGATTGAATTGAATTCTGATTGATTAATTATTTATAATCCGGGCTAGAAGAGGAAGAAGAGATGCATTGAGAATCGTTGTAAATATTTTGGGCACTTGAAGCTGGCTTTATTATACAGCGAAATGAAAGAAAAACAAGCATAGTCACATGGTCTGACGGTCTGGTGGAACCCCGAGCTCAGTATTTCGTCTTCTTTTTCGTCACACACTCAGTCGATCTGGCATGGCGGAAGGCATGGGCGTGGGCGTGGCATAGAGATGGGTCATATTAACATTGATAACGGGTCAAATTTACGATTAGGCTACGATTCGGCGACAAGAACAAGAGCGAGAACTATTCGGACCAGTGGCAAATATTTGATGAAATAAAATGCCCGCTGCTTTAGTAAAATTTGTTTTAGTTGTTTTGCTTCTGAAGTAAAGCTTTTCGTCATTTCAGAAAAAATTAATTATTTCATAATTAATTTCGTGTTTCGTTTAAATCGATATCTATACGCAACATACATATATATGCATGTGCACATACATATATACAATAATAGCTATTCGCTTTTTGTTTGCTTGTGTTTTCTCTCTTTTATTTTTTTTTTTTAGTTTTTTTTTTTTTAATACATATCACAGATCCAGTACAAATATACATATGTGTATATTTGTTTTTGTTTTTTTAATCTTTGTTTTTTTTTCTTCTTCGTTTTCTCTACATTAATTAGAAGATACCATATAAACCTCATACATTTAACATAACTCAGTGAGCAGGCGCATATGATAATATATATTTTAGTATGTCCAATGTTTGAGTGAGGGGGTGTGAGTATGCATGTGTGTGTGTGGGKGTGTGAAGTATCTATGAATATGCCATACATGCCTATGCATATGTAATACCATGTGTGCATGTATTGCATATGCATGGCGCCGTTGCTTCTCTCTCGATTGCCATGACAAAAAGACGATAAAATGTACGAATTTTGTTGTTTGTATTTGTTGTTGATATTGTTGCTGTTGCTTTTGCTGTGGTTGTGATTATGGAAGGGAAGGCCTAAAAGGGTTTCAGTGTCTTATGCTTGTTCCGTTTGAGATAAGTTTCTGCGAAATTGTATTTCAAGAATTCAATGTTATTCTTCATCGTTGTAGTCTTTATATTGCTTGTTTTCTTCTAATCATATTTGTCTCKGTATGTGTGTGTGTGTGTGTTAACGATTTGCCATTAGGTTTGACGGTCTATTATTGCTGTCAATTTGATTTGTTATTTTGTTATTAGCCTGCACTCTTCTGTACGCCTTGCTTCTCTTAAAAATTATTGAATTTTTTTAGTTATTTAAAACTGTAATTACACATTATAAGACAACAAACAAAAAATGTTTTCTTTTTTTTATCATTTGGTTGTTTTTATACTCATTTTTTTATCTTTTTTTTTTTTTCTTCTTTTGCATGTTTCAAGGCACACTAGCATTTTCAACTGTACTTTCAATATTTCAATGTTATATTATTTTTTAACTTGACTTAAGATTTGTGTTTCATGTCAATGCTTATTAAAGCGTTTTATATGTTTGTCACAATTTTGGGTTTTTGTTTGTATTTTCATTAAATTTTTCTTTTAGAATATTTGTAACTATTTAACTCTTCGTCTGGCGCAAATTTATTATTATTATTCTTATATTATTTATATAAATATTGCACAAATAAGAACAAATGTAGATAAGCTTTAACAATAATAGCAAAAAATAAAAATAAAATAATGTGAACAACTTTTCAACTTATTTGCATAAACTTAGCTTAGAGTTGGGTTTATAATTCATTTAGTTTTTTTTTATTTATTTATTTTTTTTATTTTTTTGAGCGTTTTCAGTGATTGTTTTGAAATTGAACTGAGAGTTTGATTGTTTGATTGACTGACTGACTGACTGACTGTTGATTGACATGATAATGTTGCAGAATTGTTTAGAGTACGCTGTTAGTGGAGCTGTAGTGGTGGTGGTGGTTTGTGAGTGGTTTGGTTTTCGTTTTGGTGAATAAAATGGCTTTTCAATTAAACACATTGAGATTTTGGTTTATTTAGTTTTTGGCAATATTTTTATTTAATTTTTGCTTTTTTCTTCATCTTTAAATTAGTCAATAATAAAAGGGAGCTTTAAACTACATAATATGTGTGTGTGTGTGTGGGTGTGTAGGTGTGTGTGGCCATTATAAAACAATATATATATGTCTTTATCATTATCTTTACAGGTAAATCATATGGATGTGTTTTAATGAATATAACAAATCGAAGTGTGATGCTAAAATAATTATTTTCGTTTGCTTGTCTAGCATATAAATACAACGGGATATTTGTTGGCCGATTTGTGTGTGTGTGTGTGTGGATGTATCCTTTACAGAGCCATTGAAATATTTATTTTAAATTAAAGTTAAAATTGTGATGTATATTCTTTTTTTTTTTTTTTTTTTTTTTTTTTTTTGTTTGTGGGGGTGAAGAAGAGCAAATGTAGTACTTAAGATTAGAATGTATGTCAAAAATAATGGTGAACAGAATTCCAAAAACAAAATATAATAGATAAGAATTATGGTGAATGTAACAATGTGCCAAACGGATTTCTGTCTCTCTAATGGGCCAAAACAATATAAAGGCAATAAAAAACAAGTTATGAAGAAAAAAATTATATATATGGAAGTCAAGGGATCCAGTTGGAACTGGAAACTAAAAAGTCGCACAGACAATTAAAATATATAAGTATGAGGATTAACAAATTAGCATAAAGGAGCATAAAATCAATATCAAAAAGGAGACTCACGTGCGCGCGCAAAACATTAACACCACTTGTATATATTTTGGTATAGTTCGTACCACTCTTTCGATTAAATTAAACAACATTATCATGATCAACATTTTTAACAATATATGTATATCATAATAGAATATTAAGGGCTAAAACGTATTATTTTTATATAAACATATGTGTGTGTGTATATATATATACAGATATAGACATGTATATGTATATATA